TTTAATTGCTTTGCACTCCTGATGCTGCCCTGCTTGTTGTGCAGCAAAATAGATGGGGGGACCCTGCTGAGTTTTGAGAGACACCTGGCACCCTGTGTGGCTGTCCCAAAGGAGACAGGGGACAAAACATCCAGCAAAGCTGAAAGCTCAGAGATGGTTCAGATTGTTTTGCATAGACACAGAGGAAGGTCATAACCTGTTTTAGGTGTTTTTATCTGCTTTGCTTTATCTAAACAAGCTCCAGAGCATCCTTGCCATGAAGGCCCACGGGGCAGGAGCAGGAGCAGTGGTGGGACAGAGCCTGCCTTGCTGGCTGAGTGCTGTCCCAGGGCCTGGGCAACCTCAGCAGCTTGTGAGGAGACAGACAGGAGCATCATGTCAAACCAGCTTTCACCTCTCCTCTGGGAGTGCTTCCAATCCACCACCTGAGATCCCAGAGCTGAGCCTTCACCCAGCGCTGAGCCATTAACACAAACAGCTTTTGACTGGGGGAAGTAGAAACAGACTATTAAAACAAAATTGAAAACATTAATTTTTCTGCCTTCCTCCCTCTCTAAGCTCAAGGCTGTACATTGCAAGGAACAAGAGAAGGCCAAAATGTTCAAGCACACCAGCACAATGCCAGAGAGGGGAGGCACAGTGAAAATGGGGATGCTGTGGCAGGATCACCCATGACAGATTTGATGTGGCTTTTCCTGAGGATTCCCCTGTCCCTCATCCAGCTGAGGATCCCACGAGATCTCTCCATTGCACAGGGCAGGGGGATGTCTCTGGATGAAGCCCTGCTGCTCCCACACTGATTCCCTGCTCCTCTCCTCACAGGGACGAACCAGCAGCTCCTGCCACACTGGCACCACAGCACTGCTCAGACCTGCTCTGCCAGCACAGGGCAGGAACATCCTCCTCTGCCAGCCCCAGACCAGTGCCCTGGGACTGGGAGTGAACTGCTGCCCACAGCAGGAGCCTGGGAGAGGTCACCCCCACCCACAGGAGCTCAGATTTGGATATTCACATTTGGTAAGTCCTGCACAGCAAGGACAGCCTCCCACAGCCCTTCACCTTGTTTTTAGGGCTATTTTTAATTGCTTGTGCCTCCTTCTGCCCTCTGTGTGTCCTCCCCTTGCCCGCACTGCACAGCCCAGCTCACATTGCTCTGGCAGACTCCAACCAGAGCAATCCCCACCACCTGCTCATCCCATCACATCTTGTCCCAGCTGGGGAGCCCAGGCACACAAAACCTCCATTGACACCTCCACTGGAGATTTTGGGGACACAAACCCCACCTTTGTAGCAGCACATCCCACAGGGATGTCCCATCTCCCTGTCACTAATGGCCCAATTCAATGTTATACCAGCACAAACGAAGCAAATGCTCCCCAGGGAGTGCAGGAGAGCACAAAGACCCAGGGAGGGAGAACATGGATGGGAAGGAATATTTCTTGCCCCATTAAACACCTCTGCTCTGCTGCCACCTCGGGAAGCCCAGCTCTGGAGCAGGCTCAGCCCACACCGCCAGCCACGCTGCCCTAGTGGAGCTCAGCCCTGAAATTACTCCTTTCCTCTGTGGTTTGCTCTGAGCTGCCAAGCTCCCTGTGACTGCTTTTCTCCTCTGACAGGCCTCTTCCTGCACAGCACGCTCTCCTGCATGCCTGCAGCAGCAGGGCAAGGCAGCTGAGCCTGACAGCTGGGGAAGGCAGGTCCAGCACAGGAGTGAGGGCAGCTGGAGGCAGCTGCCTGCATCCCCTGCTCAGCTGTTTGTGCTGAGAGCCACCAGCCACGGGATCCAGGCTGTCCCATGCTCCAGGAGCACCTCCTGGTGACCCAAACCCTGGAGCAGGAGCTGCCACACTGTGGGAATCCAGAGCTTCCCTCTGGCTGCCCTGGGACCCTGGCAGGGTCAGGAACCCCCCTGGACAGAGCCCCCAGAGACACTGGCTGTGATCTCTGTCCATGCAAAAGAGTTTTCAATCTTACAG